AGTATATTATATACTATATTAAGATAATTAGAATAGAGATAGCTCTTAAAAGTTAATTAAGCTTATATTTTTATTTTTAATTATCTAGTTTAGATTCAGATTAGGGTATTAGATTAAATTAGATTAGGCTTAGTATTACTAGTATTAATATATTAGAGTTTATTTTAATTTAATCTAGAATTATATATATTTAGAAATAAAAAAGTTAGTTACTTTTAAGATTATAAGTTAATTTATCTTTATAAGTATAATATATATTTACTACTATAGGAAATTTTTATTAGAAATAATATAGATTTAATATTAATCTAATATCTATTTATATATACTTAGTTATACTATATAATAATATTATACTTATAAAGATAAATTAATATATAATCTTAAAAGTAACTAACTTTTTTATTTCTAAATATATATAATTTTAAATTAAATTAAAATAAATTCTAATATATTTTAATCTAAACTATATTATTTTAAAATAGAAAAAGTTTAATTTTAATTAATTCTTAAAAACTATTTTTATTTTAATTAGTTTAAAATAGTATAGAATATATTAGAACTATAAAAAAAACCTTAGATTATAATATATATAAATAAGTAGATAGCTATAATTAAAATATAGCTTTTAATCTAATTATATTTTATTTACTTTAAATATTAATAGTATATAGTAACTATAAACTATATAATATAAGAATAGATCTAGTGAATATAGCTACTAGATCTAAGGTATTATTAGTAACTTTATTATTATAAATAAGCTTTTAACTATTTAGAAAGATATATATTAAATATACTTAGTTAAAAGCTATATATTATTATCTCTTATAATTTTTATTATCTTATTAAGATCTATATTATTTATAGTAACTAAAGCTCTATAAATAAAGATAATTATAGAAGATAATATATTATAAATATTTAATATTAATAATATAATTAATTAATTAATTAATTAAGATAAGCTTTAAATTAGAAAGAAAAGACAGTTATTATTATTAGATAATAAATCCTTAGGGGCTATTTATATATCTAGCTATATAAATAGCTTCTATTATTAGAGTTTTTAAGGTATTAATACTTATATCTAGACTAAAAGTATTTAATTTTAACTTTATTTTATAGTATTAAAAGTTCAGATATAAACTACTAATTATATTCTTAGAAAAATTATATAATCTAGTTATATATTATCTAATCTGGGGATATATCTTTATTTATAGTAAAACTAATAAAAAAAAATTAATTATTAATTAATTACTAGATATTTTAAATAATAATAACTATAATAGCTATATCTAATATAAATATTCTAATCTCTTAGAGCTTAATTAATACTTTTAATAAAGCTCTTTAAAAGATAATAACTATTATTAGAGATAATATAAGATAGTTATTTACTAAGGAGAATAGAGATTAGCTAGAAGAAAAGCTATATCTTAAGAATAGCTATCTACTTATATAGACCTATTATAACCTAATATATAATTTATAGTTTCAGTATATTATATATTATATTAAGATAATTAGAA